GACAATTGAGAATGAGGTGAAGACAGGGACCGCAACGGGTTTCTTAGTGCTTCCCTGAATAGTGAGTGGAGAGCACAGAGATGGAGTCTGGCGTGGAGGAGATTCCAGTTAAAGTTGCAGTACGGATTAGGCCTCTGCTTTCTAAGGAAGTTCTTCATAATCATCAAGTGTGTGTGAGATTCGTCCCAAACACACAGCAAATTATCATCGGAAAAGATCGTGTCTTCACTTTTGATTTTGTGTTTGGCAAAAATTCAACCCAAGCAGAAGTATATACCACTTGTATTAAGCCTCTCGTAATGTCTTTGACTGAGGGATATAATGCTACAGTCTTTGCCTATGGACAGACAGGTTCTGGGAAGACCTATACCATTGGAGGAGGTCACATTGGTAGGTGGTAGAAAGTTTATTTTGTTTTTGTGGCTTGTGATCAGTCTGTTTGCTTAAATATTTAATACATGGCAGATGATTCTGCAGTTTTGAAATAGCTTTGCTCAGCAGTTATATTTTGAAAAATTTGCAGTGTCTAGATCAGATTAGCTGCTAGCTTTTTCTTTGTGTACACCTTACTTTTTTCTTCATCTTTGATTTCCTGCTTAACTTTCCCTGTTATTGCCTTTCAGTGAATAGTTGTGTTGGGCCTTTTTAGATGAGAGAGAGTCTTTGTGCCCGCTCTCTGTGTTCTAGCAATTTCCATAGGGTGTGTCAGTAAGCTACCTAAGCATAGTGCTACTAATAAAAAAATTTTTAAGGCATAATGGGGAAAAAAAGTATGGTTAAAAAAAGTGCTTCCAAAGTTTATGCGATAATTGACCTATTCTAAACACAGATTTTCCATAATTAAGGCTATACCAAAGATATCTGAGAAAAATACAATTGAGAAAGTGCTCTTTAACATTCTCCATTTTTAACGTGCAACTTAGGCTAGCATTACTTTCCGACATGCACTATCTGGAAAGTCTTGTTACGTTTACCCTACCTTTAAAAGGTCTCTTCAGGCAATCAGTTGTTTGCTTACCCACTCGTTTTGTTGTTCATATTTAAATTTCACTTTTTTAAAAGCAGATATGTGAAACTTTTCTGTTTAGTTAATTTGGTGTTTCCAAGCCATTAATTCTCAAATGCGCTAGAGATTGGGCTACTCTTTTCTGTAGTACTTTGCAGAAAACCTTTGTAGCTCCTGCATGTATGCTATTTTCTTTTTCTTTCTTTCTTTCTGCCTTTCTACAAAGTCCCATATCACAAGCTTTGGGTCCTCTTCCCTGCGCTCCTCGGAAGTTTAACAATTTCTTCTATTTAATAAGACAGATAAGAAAGAGATCAGCAGAAGGACAAAGGCTGAGTAGGTTTTTTCTTGGTCTCTCTTATCCTCCCCAGGACAGTCTGTGTCATCTCCATCCCTTCTCCAGACCACTCCCCCATTTGATTAGTATTGCCCTAGGTATCCATCATGGTAATTCTTGAAAATCTGAATTGTCATCTCTGAAAAGTGTATATTCTTATAAAGAAAAGATTTGAAATAGTATTGTTAATTTGCTAGTACATTTTAAATAATGCTTTTTCTTTTGTTTTTCTCAACATAATTTTTAGTAACTTCAGTTTTCTCTCAGTCTTGTATCCGCAGAACGTAGTAAAAGTTCTATGTTAGTGTAATTTCCATGCCAAAACCAATAGAAAGAGGTAATAGTGTATCAGTTGAGGTATCTCAACTTATCTATGAGCCTAACTTCTCCTCCATCTGTACAGTTGCTGATGGCTAATAAAAGGAAATACTTTTTAACTGGTTTTACAATAATGAATTGGGACTAGATTCTGATTTAAAGTAATGTAGCAGATGATTTATGTTAATGTAATTGTATTATACTTTATTTTGCCAAATCCAGCAATTTAAATAGTAGCTGTACCAGTTACCTCTGACCTTATCTTGAATTATCAGACTATCGAAATGTAATTCCATTTAGAATGTGATGTCAAGGTAGGAATTCCCATAGGAATAAGACTGTAAGATACTTCTTTGTGGCTCAGTATTCTAGGTAGACTGTTTGCTTGTTTGTACATACTAGTGTGTCAGCTGGTAATCTACGTGTTATTCCACAGTACGGACAATCCTTTGGATTAACTGTGACTGTAATATTTGATTTCATGTCAATTCTTAAAATTAATTATTTGAATATTAGATTTCCTTTCTTTGCTACAATGTTTGCATTTTAAGGCACTATTTGTAATAATCATACAAGATACCAAATTGTTACATGGTAGTTTTATTTATGATTTAACTCTTCCAAGTAGATATAAATAGATAATTGTAAATCTCTCGGTAGGTATTAAAATCTTCTTTATATTTAGTTCTGCCTGTTTTAACTTCATGCTGTCTTTCCTCTAGCAGTAGTGATTTAACATTCTTGTAAGCACCATGGTTAACTAAATTCTTTAGGTAGGGGATGCCACACTGTTCAAAGCTCAGTAACTCTAGCTTTTTCATACGTTTATTAATTTCAGAGTTAGATGTGAGCAACCCTTCATTTCCTTGGTAAAAAGAAGAAAGATACTTAGTAACCTCCCATGGACGTGCAGTCAGTTTCCATATTCTTCAGTAAATACCAAAAACTCTTTCTGAAAGCATAAACATTGTCCCTGGGCGGAGTATTTAAAAAAAAAAAAAAAAAAGCAGACTTGGGCATTAGTAATCCATATGTACTTTGAAAAAAATAGGAAATTATCATAGATGTTGGTCATAAATCTTGTCTCACCAAGTTACTAGTGGTCTTTACTGTACTGAAATGAAACTTGTAGATTTTCTTTCTAAACCTTTCTGATACTGTTACTACACATAATGAATTGGAATGAACAAAGTCCTCTGAGCAGTACAGGGTTAAAGCAGACTACATGTTTTTCCTGGTTTTTTGGAATTTAGCATAAAGTTATTCAGAACTTAACTTTGAAACCTATTAATGCGTGCAGACAAATCTTCTGATCCTCAGAAATGCAAGTATTTATATAAATCACTGGGAACACTGAACGCTTTAGAGACCTGAGTGTATTAAGTAATAAAGCTCACAGGCTTCTCTCTGTCTTCAGCCTTTGTAATTTCTGTGGTGGAGTGGCTGCAAGCTTCTGTGACGTCTTTGTTTGCATTTTAGCATCAGTTGCAGAAGATGAAAAAGGCATTATCCCACGGGCTATTCAGGAGTTATTTCAGCATATCTCTGAAAACCATAACATTGATTTCAGTGTGAAAGTATCATATATAGAAGTTTACAAGGAGGAACTTAGAGATTTATTGGAGTTGGAGACCTCTGTGAAAGATTTACATATCCGAGAAGATGAAAAGGGAAATACAGGTAGGATATCAGCTCTACAGTTTGTGCATTTGGTTTCATTTGTGGGCTGAAATGCAGATTATTCTTGAAAAGAATTTACTGATTACTAATACTAGAGAAAAAGTTACTGCTTCTGCAAATTCTGCCTAAGAACACAATGACATAAATGTGATTGTTCACTTGAGTAAGTATTACAAGATTGCACCTTTGCTTCTCACTTAAAAATTATAATGGCTAAGCCATTTATAGTGTAAATATCTGCCCCCGTTTCCAGGTGAACTGCATAGGAGAAAGGAGAACATCTCGTTAAGGATAGCATCTGATATTTTTTTGGAAGCTTTGAAATTAACACTTATCCCATCGTCCTCCTATTCACTACAGGAAAATGCTAGAAGAATCCACAGCAGAGATGTTTTATTCTGAAATTGTGATCTGCTTTTCTCTCTTTATTCTTTATTTTCTAGTTGTTCTGTTTGTTTAAATAGTAGTACAGTGTTGCACTGAGCTGGCATGGCTTTCTTGTCTGCAGTTGGAAAAAGGCGCTGTATGTACATTTACTTAGTGCAAAACCTTCCCTGTGGGTAATATCATTGCTTCACAATGATCCAGCAACATGTTTTAAACTATTGCTCTTTTTCCATGTGGTTTCAGTCAGCTTTGGTGGATCATGTACCTGCTAGAGTAAGATCTTTCTGTTCTTTATTAAAATTATGGACAAAAATATGCTAGTAGGAATAGTCATTACCATTTTCACGTTATTAGATTATTCACATAAAGAGGTAACCGTCCAAAAGGCCCTACTACCTGCAGCAATGCAAAATAGGAATTCTTTTCTTACAAGGGCTTAGGAATCACTCCTATTATAAACTTTACTTCTTTTTTTTTTTTTAAACTGGAAAAATACCCTTTAAGCTGAGATTGCACATATTATTTTTCTGGATAGCATTAGATTGCAAATTGCATCTGGTAATATGCAAATGACTAAAGCTGTTTGTTATGCTTAAGTTATTATTTGTTTCAAATGCTTTAACCTGGTACACTCGCATATTAAATATCTGTAGGTTTCAAATGTGCTGTACCTCGTGCTTTTCAAATATTAATGTCTTATTTTCCTTTAGGTATGTGCTGTGAGCTCATAATAATGCAATCTTTTATCTTTCTTTGGTTCATGACTGTGGCTTGACTATCCATAATTCCTGTAAACTTTAGCTGACAGTTTAGAATTAATTACTGTTCTTCATTTGTTTGGTCTGGTGTTTGAAGTGATTGTTGGTGCCAAGGAATACCATGTCGAATGTGCAGATGAAGTGATTAGCCTGTTGGAAGGTGGCAACGCAGCTCGTCACACAGGCACAACGCAAATGAACGAGCACTCCAGTCGATCTCATGCCATTTTTACCATCAGCATTTGTCAGAAACAATCTGCAGAGTCTCAAGAAAATACTGATGCTGCACAAGATTCATCTTGGAAATCAGTCCAGATGATTGCTTCAAAGTTCCATTTTGTGGATTTGGCAGGCTCAGAGAGGGTAACAAAGACTGGAAATACTGGTGAACGGTTCAAAGAATCCATTCAGATCAATAGTGGTTTATTAGCCTTAGGAAACGTAATCAGTGCCCTTGGAGACCCAAAGAGGAAAAGTGTACATATTCCATACAGGGATGCTAAAATCACTCGTATTCTAAAAGACTCCCTAGGAGGGAATGCCAAGACTGTCATGATAACATGTATAAGTCCATCCTCATCAGATTTTGATGAATCTTTGAATTCCCTCAAATATGCCAACAGAGCCAAAAATATTAGAAATAAACCGGTTGTAAACTACAACCCTGATCAAGACCGGATTGATGAAATGGAACTTGAAATCAAATTGCTTCGAGAAGCTTTGCAGAATCAGCAAGTTAGTAATCATGCTAATCAGGGTTCACAAGACTTGAATCAAGAAAAGACTCGAATCAATTCACTTGAAGAGCAGGTCACTCAGCTTCAGGTTGAGTGCTTCCGTTACAGAAATTGCCTAGATGAAGTCTTCCCGTTCCTCGTTGATTTGAAGGATGATACTAGCTTAAGAACAAGTCAGCAGGACAGGTTGCAGGGCTGGATCACCATGGTACAGGAAGTAAGGAAAGAAGCGCTCGCCATGCAGCAGGTCGGTACAGGGACTGGAACCAACCAAGAAGAGCCCCATCATACTACAATTCTTCAGCTAAAGAGGGAACTAAAAAAATGCCAGGTATTTAATTACAAGCTGGTTATTTAAATAGATAACGTTATGTGGAAGGGCTGTCTGCTAAAACTGAAATTCAAGTTTGTACAATCTGGTGCAGTTCTCTTTGCCTGCTCCCCTGGGGAATAGTTGTACTTGAATGGATGGTTGTAGTATCAACTTCATCATGGTAGAGAGAGGTAGATAAATGTCATACTTTGGCAAGTAATTTTTAAGATGATTCTATGCGGGTTGAGCTGTTTTATCTGCTAGGGTTTTTTGGTTTTAGGCTACGATAGTTCCAGTTGTCCTTTAAACTTATCATTTGTTTTAAATCCTGTCAACAACTTAGTCTGTCCGAAGTATTGTAGGTGTAATTACAGTGGAGATACTCTGCTGGTATCAGTGCACTTACAGAGAACCGTAGGGTTAAGTTCATAGTACTATGGAGTTGTAGGTATTTTATCTCATGTTATTAAATCAGATTTTCCTAGCCCCTATTTCTTCAGCAGTGTTCCTGTAGTGTTTCTGCCAAAGGCACCTCCCTTTTCATTATCAGGCCTTTAGCTTACTGAGTTTCTGAACTATTTACAGATTTCTTTCTCATCACTTTTCTTACACTTGCTTCTGAGTTATAGATCAACTTTGTGCTTTTTGGTGCCATCCTGCTTCTTTAACAGTTTTCCAGCCGAGGTGAGAGTTTCAAACAAGATGTGGGATTCTCAGCATGCAGCTATTGCATGAGGATCCTCTCATGCTGGTAACTCTGACATAGCTTTCTCAGACAGCACATAATGGTGCCAGACAATGATCTGTGGGGAGAAGAGCTCTCAGCCTTCTCGAGCGTGATAATGTCTCCGCACAGAACTTAAACGTGATCAAATACATAATTCTTCTTGGGGACATCCCCCTATACATTTAGGAAGTGTGTATCTTGGATGTGCTGAGTTAAAATGTTGAATATGAATAACAAAACATCCCAGATGATGCGGATATTAATGTACAATAAACCGAGCCTCAACTAAAAATTAATTTTGTAACTTGAAATTCCTGCACGCTAGTTTGAAACTAGAACTTGAATGAAGTTCTGGTGAAAAGATCTTCATGAACATATCCAAAAAATTAATCTGAGTCTGGCTCGTAATAGAAGGAGGCTGTGCTCCAACAAATGGGAATTTTATAACACCAACCTGTTTTGCGATTCGCACACTAAATTCGGATAAGCATATAGATTATTATCAGGCAGTTGCATATCTACATTCTGTCTTGTCTTTAATTCCTGTTTAAAACTGTCATCTTAATTACCTTCCTGTAAGGTAACTACCTTATTTTAAGCCTCTGATTCCAAGGTTCAACAGAGTGCAAGAACTGGGTTAAGCTGAAAGGTTCCCTAGGTCAGTATGCTAGCAGCAGCCAGGAACAGGTGGTTAGGGGGAGGCTAAAACAAACAGGACAATAAAGACGTGTGAGCTGCCTTTCAGCTGGCCACCTGTTTTTAATAGCAAACAGTGGACTTATTCTTATGTGTACACGTTGTTGGGTTTTTTGTTTGTGTGGGGTTTTTCATGTTGGTGCTGTCGTATGCAAAATAAAAATATTGGGCAGGAATATTCTGCTATTTAGTTATGCACATTGAAATAAATACTTTTTCACCAATAGTTCCTACAGCTTTCCGGATCCTTCCCTCTAATGTTTTTGTGACCTCAGAAATATAAAAATTAACTATGACCAACAGAGTAAGCAGAAATAATGTATTTTGTTACCAAATATATTACTTGCTTATTAGTATTCTCATGAGCCAGCAAAGACTAGGAAGCTGTTGTTCTACAGTGTTTAGTGGCGAGTACATATGCAGGTTGCATTTTACTTTTCACTTAAACATGTAAGCTGCGGCATCCTTATTTTGATTTTTGTTTTGTTTGGGTTCCTGAATTTCCTACAGAAGAAGTGTAGATTAAGGTAAATGAATATCCTGAGGGGAGGTGTCTTTTTCTCTAGTGAAAATTAACTAAAATATTTGGATGTGACAGATGCTATAGATGAATTCACTGTTTTCATTAAAGATCAATATCTTCTACTCGGCATGTATTGTTTTGGTGTAGCTCCAGGTATTGCATGCATAAATATTACTTCCCTGCAGCCAACTGTATAAGGTCAAAAAGAAATAAATGGACAGTATGCTGCTTGCTTTTGTATCACTGTATCCTACCTGACTCTGTCATCATGCTAACACCTATGCAAGTTTCCTTACTAGTAGCCTTTATTTCCTCTTCTTTTTTCTGTAGTTGGCTCAGCTCTGAATGATAATGTGGTACCATGGTGGGGCAGGACACACATGCCTGCTAAGTTTTATAGAAGCAAGGTATTGTGTTGCTACGTAGACTTTGGAAAAGATTCTGCTTTCTAAAGAAACATCAGGTTCTTGAATGCATTCTTAAAAGGTGTTAACATTTATCTCATCTTAGAAGAAAGATGTAGGTAAGCTAGTTATGCATAGCTATCCAGCTTTAGAACACTACAAGGTGATGCTTCCATACTTTGCACTTGGCTTTCATGAGTCTTATGGTCTCTTTAGGCAGTTATCTGAGTTGCAGAACGTGGAAAGCCATCTTTACTACTTCATTTTGAGAACTGTACTACTCTTGTGGTTGATGTTGAGATCTTAGGGCTACATCTCACAGCACACGATAAAGAAAATAGTTGTGTTTACATACCCACTTCATCCTGCAGCATTCATTATGGGTACATTTTTTCTACTAGGAGAAGGAAACTTGCCAGAAGGAAACCAATAGATGAAACACAGAAATGAATAAATAATTAGTAGAAGCAACACACAGCCACTTGGAGAATTTGCCATGCAAACCGTAAAACTTGGCAGTTCTGATCACTTTTTTTAAATCCCAAATGAATTAATTGTTTCTTCTGTTTTCCAATTGCAAGAATACTGAACTTTCCTTTTATTATCTAGCAGGCTCTAGTTACGGATGAAGAAGTATTTAGCCAGAAGGATCATGAGCTTAAAGTACTACAGAGTCAAATGAAGACGTTAATGCAGGAAAACAAAGAACAACTGGAATCTTTAAAGGAAGCTCAAGAAACAAACAGATTACAGGTATTTTTCCTGTGGTACATATGACTTTGTAAAGATGGTTCAAATGAGATATATGTGTGAATACATTCATTATTTCAAGGCAGATCCTTCAGGCTTTCCTTTTCGGACATCAGTATCCAACAATCTTATGGGCGTTTTGTTTGAATCAGACCTGTATCGCTTAATGAGCTGGGTTCATGACGCACGAGATGAAGCACAAGACTATGATTCCTGATGTTTGTATGCCAGCCTAGCTGTGCCACAGCCTTCTTGTATGGCATTAGGTAAATCATTCAACCTCTCTGTGCTTCCTGAAAACCAAGCGTGCATCCCCACTGTGTGTTTTGTTTCTAGGTTGTTTCAGGGCTATTAATTAATCGAGATTTGAAAAGTCTCTGAAGGATTCTAAAGATTCTATAGAGTGCTTTAATTGAGAGGATCTATAGCAATATGTTTTGTTGTAGCTTTAGTAATTATGAGAGTAAAATTTTGTTGCCTTTTGACTTTATAAGGCAGAATTTCATCCCAAGTTTCTGAGCGTTTACTATTATAGGAAACTGAGTGACATAGCGGAAACACTGCTTGTCTTTTGCCTCTGTAGATCGTTTGCTTGCTCATGAGATGGTGATGGGTAGTAAGTATGTAGTATTCCAAGGTACACAAGATCGTAAATGGAGTGGCTGATCTTCCCCTGCTTTTGCATATCACATGGTTGTGGAGAGAATATTGTTTTACTCTTTTGGAAGAAATAGCATAAACATGGCTAGCTAGTACTCTTCTCCTTGTTTTACTTTTTCTCCTTTTTCCTCTTCTTTGCTGATGTCTTGGGGAGAGTCATTATTAAATGACAGGTAAGTATACTACTCATTACCTTTTTCTTTCCTCTGTTATTTTCTTTCTGTTCTGTCATCTTTGGCTAGCTTTGTTTTATTTTTTTCCTATATAATATAGTTGCAGGTTATTACCCTGAGATAACGCTCACGATTTATATTTTGGAATATACCAGCTCACAGTAACGAACAGAAATAGTCACACAGTGAGTAAAACACTTGCTAAAAGTCATGATCGGTTCGGTATCAGAGACAGGAGAAGAGCTGGAAACCTCTCAGACACCAGTTTTGTACTTAGTCTACTAAACTGCCCCTTTTATTTAAAAACTTATATGACCATAAGTAGGATAATTAAAAGTAAATGCTTGCGTCAACTAGTTTGAAGTAGCATTCACAGAAATATGTAATTTAGTGATACGTGGTAGGATCAGAGTTGTAAAAGTAGCATCTACTAGTTTTAAATGTTTACATGTGTAGGTATTTATATGACTGCTTCTGCACTATGGGGGGTTGTCTGTGCAAGCGTACTGGGGACAAAGAGTCTTAAAAGGAGTCGAAGACTAGCTTGCAGGGTGGATCCATGCAGTTGACTTTTCCTGCTTCCAAATCATAAAAATGTGGTATTACTTAGATATTCTACTCCCTATGGCATAGGGATATTTCATTCCATACATAAGTATTGTATTCCAACAAAATTTCAATTTGCAGGGCATTGTCTGTGTGCTCAGGAAGAACTTGCAGTCTCAGAAAACAAGGTGTAAAAGATAAATGAAAAATTTATGATTCAGCATAGGAGAATGTAAAATATCTGTCATTAAAAACCTTCAGTTGACTGTCACAAGCTGTTTTTCATATTTTCTCTTGTTGGTAGGCCAGATTTTAGAGGCACTCTGAAAAGAAGTGGAAGTAATGGAGAGAGTTGAAAATGGATATAATCTTGATGTTATAGATCAGTTTACGGAAGATGTGTAATTTTGAACAATGTACAGAGACTGCTGTAGGAAGGGCAGATAAATAAATTCTCCAGATGAGTATTGCTAGCAAAGTTGAGGCTGGGAAGAAGAAGTACCTAAGACACATGGTCCTGGGATTTTACAAACAGTTGCATATATCTGTTTGCTAACACAGATAATATTTAAAGTGAGATTGCTCAAAGAGGATGCCTGTGTACATGTTCAATTATTTAGACTCAGATTGTGTGTTTCATTTAAATATTTTTTGCTGAATTCCCATGCCATTCCCCCATAAAGCTAAAGTAACTTACCTAGTATAGGTCTTTCTAGAAAAAAACAGTCTTCAAAAATACTTATTAGCGTTTAGGGGTATAGTAATTAAAATGATATGTCATAGAATTTCCATTTCGTTGCAAAATTTGCATGTTTATGTACTGCAGAAGAATTTAGGGTAAGTGATATACAAGATTCGTGATCTTCGTTATGAATTTATGAAAGATGAATGTGATGGAAGGCTGATGGTCAGCAACAGTTTTGGTTTATATTTTCTTTTTCCCTTGAGAAAGAGAAAATGGTGGAACAGCAAATCCTAACTGATCAGCTAAAAGAAAAATTAGAGAAGTTTACAGTTATGAAAACTTCAGGCTTCTCTGCTGCCTGTGGAGATGGGCCAGCTGGTGCAGCGCCTGCAAGGAGGCCGTACAGCGTCCCACTCACAAAGAGCCTACTACACACCCTTCATCCACCTTCAGGGACAGAGACCCGAAAGGTAAGGGCTGCCCAAATCTTAAATTTTTCTCCTTTACTTTGTAATGATTATAATTAGAGTGTTAGAGTTGACATGAGAAATTATGTGGCTTTGTCAGCTGTCATTTAGTTTCCCATTGAAGACCTTGAACAATTACTTTCTAATTTGTTGCTGTACAAGGTATGCTGCGATAGTCCAAAATGTTCCGAGGAAATTTATCACTTAGAGTGATAAAAGTTGTTGTCTTTTCTGTTTTTTTTATAAGCCTTTTGAGGATTCAAATATGGAATGTTACCAAAAATGAATGATTACTCTGTACTGAGGCATGGAATACATTTTGGTAATGAGTTGCTAACAGTGCCTTCTTTAGCGTTTGGAACAAGTTCTCTAAGCTCTCTCAAAAACTTCTGTTACAGAGGTGTTCAGAAGCTTTCTAGAAAACCTTGGCTTGCAAACTCAAGTGGTAACACTTTTGAACTGAGATAATTTTGAAAAATCGGTGAAGAATTGCTGGATTCTTACAAGTGATTTTTCCGCTTGTTTTTGGGGGGGTTTTCGGCAGGTCTATACCAGCCCCCCTGCCTGTTCCCTGGCCCGGGTGATGGCAGGATTCCGTGCTCGCAGCCAGATGATGCTGAGCTATATAGAAGATCAGGATGAAGTCCTTCATTATCATCTTTCTGATCATAGCGATGAAGAGGATGGAAATGCAGACAGCAAAAAGAAAACGTCATTTAAGTAATATTTGTTTGTTGTTCTTTAAAGGGTTTTTTTGTTTTGTTTTTTTTACACACACATCTATATCAAATATAGTTATTACTGCCTAATCTTGCCATATTATGAGGCCATTTAGGATGTTACTTAAGTTAAACTTATGAGACCAACTTGGCATAATGCAGGACAAGTATAATAAACTCTATCAGTGACCTGTGTGTCAGGACATAGCTTTTGATTTAATCAACATTGCACAGTTGTTGTTTGAGGGCCAGAATCTACCAACAAGGTCTAGGGGGGAAAAAAGGAAGGTAAAAATGTCCATATGAGTTTTCTCACTCTAGGATTCTTCGGTGTTAAGATCATGTACTGTTGCATGAAGTTAAAAGAAGACAATCCCTGTATGTTTTGGAATGTACCATGTTTTCATTCATTCTTAGGCATTCTATAAACCGCACATGGACACGAAAACAGGCTTCTCTCTGCTTTCCGCTTGACCTAAGTGACATGAAGCGTCAAGTAGACAAGTCTAGCCTTCACAACAAATCTGCAGTACTGACTGACACGATCACAGGTAAAATGGAAGTTGTGAGAGAGAAGTATATTACAATGTCAGAATATGCAAGATTCTGTTAATCACTTTAATGCTTAAATAATGTTAATAGCCAGCAAGTGCTTCGCACATCAGAGATGTTTAGATATGAATCTTTAGCACTCCTTCAAGAAAGAAAATAAAGAGTAGTATTTTGTCAGAAATACACTGAAATTTTTTTAAATAATGTTTTTCTTCCTACTCATGGTCTTGGAATGCTAATGAATGTCATCCTTTTCTTTTCCCCCTGTTTAGACCTACCGTCTTTTATACAGATAGCAGGAAAAGACTCCTTGCGCTATACTCTCTCCTTTTTTTTTGGTTTGTTTCCCCCCCACCACTTCTCAGACTAGAAGTCTACATATACAATGTTCCAGAACACTGTCCTTTGGACACAGAGTGTATTCCAGATCTTTCATCTCACTATTGCCGTGTTTTCTTTCAAGGTGAAGAGATTGACAGCCTCCAGAAGAGTCATGTGTTCAACATGCGGAAGTTAAAAAATTCAGAACTGAGACTCACTGAGGCCAAGCAAAAAATGAGAGAGCTTGCACTTAACATCAAAATGAAGGAAGAACTTATTAGGGAATTAGTAAAAACAGGTAACTGGCTACTGCAAAGCACATTAAAATGAAGAAGTTCAGAAATAAATAAGGCAAAAGAAGACAGAATACTTCTGAAATTCTGCTTATCTTAGTTTTTATGTAATTACCTTATGCTAGAACACAAGGTAATGCTAGAAGTTACAGATTTGTAACTTTTATGAATTATTTGCTGTGATGGCATTGAAGGCTGTAAACTTGGATTAGGGACTACTGTGCAATGATGTGCAGCTGTGTTTGTTTTTGTGCACTTTGCTCATTATTGTAATTTTTCATGTGTGCTTAGTGCTACAGGTCTTTCCATGGACATATATATGTCACGTGGTGTCTAGGATAGGAGAGAAGATGCAACATTGTGCTGGGAATGTACGTATTTCTAGCACTGCAGCAGAGAAGCAGGAGTCAGGAGCTAATGAGGGCAAAGGCCAATGTCCCTGTTAGTCTACATCCCTTACGCACCTGTCCTAGTATTTTCGTTATCTGCCGGAAACTAGCTTATGGTGATGGTAAGGACCTTTCTGCTCAACCCCTACAATTACACTCTTCTCCTGTGCACGCATTCCCTTGGGACTATCTCTTGACATTGAGAAAGGTTCTATGCCCCCATAAATCTAACGGTGAGAAAGACTGCCCAAACTGGACAAATCAGAGGGTGGAAGTTCAATTTAAAGTTATTCTCTGGTTATTCACCTGAAAGTTGAGTAATACGCAAACAGCATATCCTTCTGGAAAAGAGGACGCCTTTATGAAATACAAAGGAGCCATTTCGACAAAAATTGCAGGGGGTGGAAGAATTTCACTTTATTTGGTGCTCTAGATGATATCAGATGACACACAAAGGATTCTCCTTTAGACTTCTGTATCTCTATCGCAGAGTCAGACTTGTAGATTGAAATTTTCAGGAAAGGAACTGTTTGTTCCTTTAGGGTTGGAAAATGTCCTGAAAATTGTTGGTTCAAGCAGAATTAAATAAGTAATAATTCAACTCCCTATTTAAGTATTACTTTTCCGTTGATTATCCTGCGGCGCCTATTTTTAAACTATTTGGATATGATGTCTTTAAGGTAAGGATGCTCAGTCTGTAAGCAGGCAATATTCTTTGAAAATAACTAAACTGGAGCAAGAATCTGAGCAGGCAAAAATGGAACTGGCTGAAACACAAAAGCAGCTTCAGGAGCTGGAGTGTAAGGAGCTGGAGAGTAAGGAGCTGAGAGACATTGCTGAGAGCACCACGTTACAGAAAGCATTTTAGAAGAAGATGGATGCAGCTAAGTTGAAAGTGCAGGTATTTTTGACCTGACAATTAGGATTTGCAAATCCCTGTCCTACCAGCACCTTTGAAATGTTAACATGCTCCCTGTAAAATCCTCACTAGTTTTACACAATTGAAGCTGGTTGGATTGAAGGAGGTAGTGAGAAATTTGACATCATTATACTTGCAGTGCTTCTTAACATATGTGGCTAGATACATACAGTACTTTCTTCGTAGAAAAGCGTCCGGGTGGATGTCATGAGATGATCATAAATCATTGTATGTGGTATCGTACAAGAACCTACGCAAGGAGACTATTTCAAGTTTTTTTTTTTTTATTACCTGTCATAAATAAAATCGCCATTTTAAGAAATTACTATATAAATTCCAGCTCTAAGCAAATCTCTAAGGAGGTTTGTGATGATATGTTTGTAAGACCAGGCCCAATACAGTCACTTCACGTGGCGCTGACATCATGCTTTAAGGTCTGCTACACCTAAGTTCAACTTCTGTGTGGGGCTAGCTTAGGTGCTCTGTGCCTCACATGCGGAGTGGTGAGCTTGGGTAGGCACCATAGGGGAAGAGCTAAGCGGTTTATCAGCTTCAGCTGAGTACTAGCAGTGGCAGGGATATCCTGGCTCCATTATGTCTTTGCACGTATATGGGCCTTTTCTCAGTGCCTGAGATTAATTCTGCCTGTGCTGACGTCACCAGATGGTTCAGAAGCCATAGGAATGATTAGTGATAATTTGGGCAAAAGTTACTAAGCCTTGTTGACTGTAAGAATACAGTGAAATGAAGAATTTTGCCATAAACTTTCAGACCTTACAGAAGAAGAAACAGGACACTAAGGCCCTGGTTTCATTGTCTAACCAAAGTGAGAGACGAGCAACAGAACTTGAGCAGAATGTGGCTCAGATGAAGCATCAGCAGACTCAGCTACAGAAAAGACTGCGTGAGGAGACT